TTTTCTTTCCATACATGTCAAAACATGTATTTAAGAATTTTTAACTCAAACACCATTGTACCTTGTTGTACAATAGGAATGTCCATCACATACCCCTTTTCTCAAGTGCCTTATTATTATTTTTTTTCATTATACACCATTATACCATAATTGTATAATAGGAATGCATATCACATTTATTTTGTTAAGCACCATTACACCTTATTATATAATAGGAATGCTATAAAAACTCTCAATTAGGCATCATTGGTCTCATCACCAATAATAATATATAGGGATATCACAATCTCCCACATTAAGAGCATCTCAAATATGTGATTTTTCACATTTCTCAAATAATTGAGTTCATGAAGAAACTCATTTTCTCACAAAATTTTAATAAGAACATATCAGCTCATCTCACATTTTATCGCCACAAAATAGCTGCTCAATCACGTAAGCTTAAAGGTTTAACTTACGTTTCCGGAATATATCAACCCAAATATCAAGTCCATTTTTTTTTTCAAAATTGTTGCATGGGCGAAATTGGATAGCTCTTTTCTTAAGTCTTTTCACTTGGTCAAAATTTTCATAGACCATTTTCCATGGTTCCTAAATGAGTAAGACAACACAGCATTTACTAAAGATTTGTCAGAGAGCAAAAATACTCAACTAACAAAATATATGATTATAAAAAATATTTTACACATAATGGCATAACCAATGCACTTAATATTTTACTAGCCGTTGGAGTTAAATCACATTCATGTTGAAATTTATTAACTGCAAATACAACTCCTTAAAGATTGCATCATGGCATAATAGTTTCACATGCTAGGTAATTTTTTACTCTTTTTTTTTCTTTTTACTATTGAAAATATCTCACAAATTAAGAGTACGACAGCAGCAAAAGGAGCACATACCTGCATGCATTAAATTCATAACAATTTCCACTTATGATATTTCAAGCCGTTGGAAATTAAACAAACCAATAATATCATTAAGCTCCAACATGTCATGATAAAAATATGTATATTCATTTGCAAGAGCAACATATGAAAGTAATCGGGTTAACACGATATATTTTTTTTTTTATTCACATGCCATTAAAATAAATAGTCTACCATTCAAGCATGTGCTAATAATCATATTAGAATCTAAGAACTCATACCTTCGGTTGACAAATTAATAGGATTTTCCTCATTGAGGACATATGCCAAATTTAACAAATAAGATAATATAAAACTTTTCCTTTTCATCTTTTGAAATGCTCACCGTTAAAATGAAAAGGCATGTTAAGATCATTAGCAAGCTTAACAGGTTTTTCACGAGGTAAACTCATTTTTTTAAAGAATCTTTCTTTTGAAACGTCCTAAAATTGTTGTTACTCGTAAAATAAATAGAAGAAAAAAGTAGACAGAAGATTTGCAAAAAACAATTAATTAAAGATGAAAATGAACAATAAAAAGATGTCACCGAAAGTATGAGGTGTGGATCAATCACTTTCTTTAGGACGTTTCGTGCCACTGATATAGCAGATTTTTATGGTCACGTCGCTCCCAAATACAACAGCCTAACCTCCTTGTTGTATCTTTACAAGTACTCCACTCTTGTAAAGAAAACTCTGCCCCATCACCTTTTTCTTGTCTAAAAAGAGTTTGTATATTGTGTTTGTAAAATAAGAGTGCAGATCATAAAATTGTATCAAGTCTTTTTGGTAGAAATGGAGGCTAAATAGGCTTTCACACAGCATAACCAGAGTAAATGAGAAACTATTAGAATTTGAAATAGCATTTTTCGGTTACAAAAAATTGAAATTGGTGATTAAAACAATTTTGAAACTGGTGAATGATTTCCAAAATGTTACCGGCTATGAATTAATGTCTCCGGTTACAGTACTTGATTTTATTCTTTAAGAAACGCACAATACCATTTCTTTTTAAAAAAGCAAGAAGGCATGGGTAACTGACACAAAGTTACTGCACTTCTTTTTTCCCCTTTAAAGCAATAGACTTGTAACGGACTGGGTATAAATGGTTTGCTATTTTTTTTTAATTAAAATATATAACAGTTTGTGTCCCGAATGGTGCCTTTTATGCAAGTGGTGGAGCGGATACTGTTATTCCTAAGTGGGTTTGGATTTCTTGGCTCCTGGTTATTATAATGGCCATTTCTGTTAG